AACACCTTCAATTTCAATGCTCTCTGAGACTTATCAGGAGAGAACACACCTGCCTCCATTGAGCTATTTACTGAAGACCAGCACCAACACTTTGCAACAGCAGGATCAATCCATCACAGTTTGTTTTAAAAACAAAACATTTCACCTAGTTTGGAATTTTCTTAGAGGATTGTAAAAGACTGCATATACAGCAATAAAAGTACTGTAAGGTCTGTGTTTATTTCTGTGCTTGTGAGGACTGACTTCAGTTTTCTACTGTATCTTGAAAACAGAAAAGAGTTGGAACATGGGAACATTTTGTCCTGTCCGCAGTTTTTCAAAGGGCAGTTTGAGGTTCCAGACTTTGTTTTAAGGAAGGATTGGCTTAACGTTAAGTGGTGGGAGTATGCTTCACACCAATTTTGTGTTGGGTCATTCAACAGTGTCTGATATCGTCTTCCCCCACACGTTTCCCAATCATCACTTTCAAGATTGTGTAATTTCACAAGAAATTCTATGCTCAGGTGCGTAGGATCAAAACATCTTAACTGGAGAACAAAGTAAGGTGGTGTGCAGGATTTCTGCAATTTATTCTCCATTGTTCAGTCACTAAATCTTAGCACATGATGACTGTTTCTCCTGCCTGGCTGCTGACAATGCTGTCAGTCAAAAAGTCATTCACACCGAGCGGTGCAGGATGTTGTAGCAGTGACTGTTTCCAAAGCAGTTTAGCCAGCTGTGCCAATATTCAGCACCAAAGCTGAGAGTGTATGAGCAAAACACAAGAAACAGGTCACACTGCCCTCCATATCTGATCCCACATTACAATTTGTTTAGTATTTTTGATGATTTTGGGTGGAGACAGTTTGTCTACAAAAAGCCCCTCTATGATGGCAGGTTTTCACTGTAACCATGCAGAACAGACTTGGTAGAGAGCACCTTATACCAACTAGTGGGATGTGAGGTCAATTTTAATCTGACGAGTTGTCAGCCTGCAGGAGGAAGCATCTTTGTTGTTCTGACCAGAGAGGAAAGGACAGCCCATCGGGGCAGCGATGAGAAGCAATCACTTTGTTCTGGACAGCTCCTGCTTTCCAGCATTGTTATGCAGAACTGCACTCATAAGCAATACGTACGCTCTCCATTCACTTATCAGTGTGTGCAAGTGAAATCTGTGTGAGCATGATGATCCCTCACAGGGATGACCCATGCATATTTGCTCATCTCTCCCGTCATGCTGTGATAGTAATGTACTGCTTTGAAAAAATGCCAGCATTCACTCAATGCAGCTGATAAAAAAAAAAAACACAAATCCCCTCGGAGGTGACAGCTTGGGGATTTGCCACCCCTGTTATTATTATTTGCACATCTCCAGCACCCTGGACATGTTGTAACAGTTAGGTTGTTGACAAAAATCTGCTGCCACTTGCATCTGTTATGCCTGCTCTCTCACTGGCAGGTGAGAGAGAGTGAAAATAGCTGGACTCAAGCGCAAACACTTAGATAGTAGTGTGAAAACAATTATTTGAATAATCACTTCAGTATTGCATACAGTAGGTGGGAATCCCAGACTGGTCGTTCTGTCCAGTTGGTTAGAGGAAGGGAAACAGGTGGATAGAGGAGGTGAGGTCTGTGGCTGGAGTGGAACTGTTGAGATGATCCCTGGAGAGGAGTGGACACTGGCCCAGGAAAGGAGGAACCGTGATGTGCTTTGTGGGAGGAGGAGCAGGAAAAACAGCGTCGGATCAGAGATCGCTGAGACGAAGAATGCTCAGGGAGAGGAGCCTCATCAAGTGAGTACAGAGCAGGCACAATTGGTGAAAGTAAACAATCAGGCTATCTCCGAAGAGGGAGGATAGCTGGAGCACCCAGGACAAGAGTTACAGCAGCAGAGAGAGCCACAAATGTGATAATACAGTTCAGTCTTACTTGACAGTGTTTAGCCAAACGAGGGAAGGAACGGAGTCCTTAGAAACAGGTACGACAGCCACGGTGTCGTGCATATGATTAACATAACGGACTGTCAGAGGTCTAGACTTTGCCTGGGGCTTAAGTAGTGAGTTGTTGGGTTTGCTGTTCAGCAACAGCTGCGCACTCCGCCCTGGGACTGCTCCTTTTGGGAGAGAGGGAGAGGGGAAAAAGCGAGAGAGAGAGAGAGAGGGTGAGGCGTGGAGACCTGACAGCATCAACCTGCTGGGATTGTTGCTGGGCTCTCACTCGCACTGGTGAAAGACAAACTCTTATAACATGTCTTCGGTGTTTTTTATATATATATTTCTAAAGATATATATATACAATGGAACCTCGGTTTTTGTGATTAATCCATTCAAAAAAGTCCGATGAAAACCGAATCATACGAAAACTGAAGCAATATTTCCCATGAAAAATAATGTAAATCCAATCAATCTGTTCCAGACACCAAAAAATATTAACAAAAAATACATTTTATAGAGAATAACTATATTTTTACATACAGAAAACAATGAGAAATAAATATAAATGATTAATGAAGTGGATAAATGAACATTTAATAACATCACTTTTACCTTTATTGAAGACTCTTTTTCGCAAGGAGGGGAGAGGGAGGAGGAGAGGTTATTGTTTGGAAGGGGAATCCCCCTCCATAAGGACTTCATGTATCAAGGCCCAATCTGGGGTTACTTCCCTTCACTCATTTCTTCCGGGAAATGAGTGGCCGAGTCAGGCGGGCAGGCGGACGAGTTTGGTACGGACTAAGGACGCTGAACCAACCAATCAACTGTACGAAAACTGAAAAAAGTCGTTTGACGAAAAAAGTCGTTCAAAACTGAATTGTACAAAAAGTAGGGCATACGAAAACCGAGGTTCCACTGTATTTATGTGCAGGTGATATGGTAATGTGAAAACAGCTGACCTCATTAATCCTGGTTTCCTACTGATTACGCATTTTCCTTTTTGAATACACAAAGCTATATACATTTGGGGTCCACCCTCCTATCCCCATGAGGATTGTTAAGTCCCCACTATGTGAGTGTGTTAACAGGTTTCGGTCCCCATAAGTAAAACAAAGGCACACACACATTGAGCAGAAAAGAAAAAAGTTTACTGCCTCTTACTGTCATACACGTACTTCATGCAACAAAGCAGTGGAGATTTGTTGGTGATGACTATAGGAGAAAGAACAGAATTATGAGGTTCGGTTTTTATATTTGAGATGCTAACAGAGTACTGTAGGACTATAACAGACCCATTCTTCGTTACTATACTCGCTAAATACGGATTGAAGGTATTACGTCTCGACCACATGGCACAAATCCAGCCTTAAACCTCCTTGTGTTCCAGCTGAGGGGAGGGATGGAGAAGCGGAGGACGCAGCAGCAGCAGCACCGCGGTCAGCGCGCAGCGGCGTCTCCACACAGATTCAGTCGACCTGAGTTATTTTGGTAGCGCAATTATCCCGCAAATCCCCGAGGTGTTCAGTGGTCGGACAAAGGCATTTCCCTCGGGATCAATAAAGTATCTATCTATCTATCTATCTAAAAGGAAGCCAGAGTAAATGACGCCACTGTGATGTGAAGGATGATGGAAAAGTGTGGTGGCACGTAGATAGAAGAGGAAGAGGAGGGAAACTGTCCTGGACAGAGTTGAACGTGTTCTTCTTTCGGAGACGTACGATGAATGTGAAAAAAGTGGAGGCTTTGATTCAGTTATCTTCTGAAAGCTTCAGCTGGTGAGTCCACACTCTAATCCGCGATTTTTGGTACTTTCCCCTAAAAACCTTGAAACACTTTTCAGGTTTTTATCACTTGTAGAACCTGCTGTGTTCCTATATCATTTCTAATATATTTATATACATGTAAGGAGTTTAGTGTTTTGTTGTATTCTGTTGTTTCATTCACTATAGATGCCACTTTAATTTTTATAACATGCTTGTAGAGGTTTATAGTGTGTCGGTGGTACCTTATAGTATAACAAATGACTTTCTTCTATTTCTTGTACCTCATTTATTATTATGGACTCACCCTCAAATGTTCCTTGTGAGGCGCTTTGTGTTTGTATTTGCACAGTTTTTCTTTTTTTTTTATCACCAGGAATTATTCATTTTTCTGAAGATTGACAACTTTGTTGTAAAATGGCAGTGACAGGAACTGTGGAGTGATGTATCCCGTGTAATTTCTGAAGCATTCTAACTCTTTTAATCCTGGAAAAAAATGTGCCATTACTACTTTACTATTTAGTCTAGTTTTTGTCAGCTTTTGTTTTGTTCTGTTTTGTTTTTGCTAATCTGTATTTTTATTGTTGTTGTTGTTTGTGGAGTTACAGTCTGTCCATGTGAACATTAATCCTCCAGATAGTTTGTTCCATAAACCTAAAAGGGCCACGGCAGACTGTTTTAACTGTGTTCCAGGAGGATTACAGACAGCAGTAGCACAGTGTGAGACTGTGTATGTGACTGTTAAATCAAGATGCTTCACTCAGACAGTAACTCTCATCAAATTTGTTTGCCACTAAAAACTGTATCATTTCCCATCTTGGCTCCTCATGTGGGGTTTGATCATCATCACACCCGCATTATGAAAGAAGTCACCAACTAGCCGCAAACTCTTCATCCTCCCTTCCCGTCATAATGAGGACATGTCCCTCCTGCTCTGTAGGGAGATCCAAGGATTTGTCACTTGGGATTCTGCCAAAAGGGCAATTTAATCAGAGGGCACTTTATTCAAAGGAAGTATGTCATCCTACTTGTTCAGGAATGATTTATTTGGAATAATATAATGGGCAGCTTTTCCTGATCTCCACTGAGTTCAGGCTGAGGCAAAGATAAATATGACAAGTCTTTAACTGTTTCTTTGCCTCTTTTTCGGCATGTTCATGGTGAGACATGCATCCAGGCTTTGGGGTGTACATGTTCAAAATGTCCTCACTGCCTTGTAGGTTGTAAACCATTAGCAGTAAAGAAGCAGCTGGCTGCACTTCTGGACACTGTTGACATAGGGCTTCCTTTTGGCACAGTACAGTACAGTACAGTTTTAAGCAGCATTTATGGATGTAACTGCATATTGCAGGTGTATCAAAGTAATCCTGAGCCTATGTGGATTTATCACTTAAAGAAGAGCAATGATTCTTGATGCAATAGTGTCTGAGGGATCGGCGAGCACGGTCATCCAGCTTAGGCTTGTGCCCTTTACACACTGAAATCCCTCCATATTCCCTGAATCTTTTAATGATGTTCTGCACCGTAGAAGGTGACATATCCAAATCCTAATTTTCTTTGAGGAACATTGCTGTTAAACATTTCAATCATTTTCTCATCTGTACAGTGCCTTGCAAAATTATTCATACCCCTTGAATTTTTCCACATTTTGCCACATTACAACCACAGATTAAAATGTATTTTATTGGGATTTTATGTGATAGACCAACACAAAGTATCACATAATTGTGAAGTGGAAGGAAAATGATACATAGTATTCATCTTTGCTACTAAAGAGCTCAGCCTAACTAGCTTCCTTGGCTAACGTAACTTGGTGTATTGAGCTACATGTTAGCTATGTTAGCAGTTTCTTTACTTGTAAAACAGGCTACCTTCTGTTATCTCTGTTATGACCATTCACAAGAATTACTCCCCAGCAGGGCTGAAGCCTATTTCATGTGTTCTTTGTGGAGACTACTGATTATTGATGGCTCTGTCCGGAGTCGCTGGTACAGAGAAATCTGCTGTTTGATTAGCTCAGCCATGCTGCCACACACCAACCACAGAAACACTGGTCCAAACACTGATTGTTGATTGACAGGTTTATTCCTGTTGCCAGCTTATGTTTAATTTTGAGATCAGGTCAACTGCCCATTATGTTTCAGCATATATCACTCACTATTGTTTTTTCATTCACTGCAATATGTCGTCATTCATTTGACTTAGGCGCACGGCAAAAACTCATGTGCTGCATCTAAGGCTTTCTATGGGAAACCCCTAAATTACTACAACTAGCATCAAACTGCAGTTCTACACTACAACTACTATCCTCACCTGAGGACTCTGGCAACAGGAAACAGAATTTTCTTTTTTTTAGGAGTGGACATGAATCCTGTGTAAATTCAGTTTAAATCTATTCAGTTTTCAAGAAAAACAAGTTATGGAAATATTTTAAAACATACAGCCTCACCAACAAGTAACAAACTTTAATTTTCATATTACAGCAAATTTCAAGTGAATTAGACCACTTAAGTTTAAATATATTTCAGATCAGCACAAATTTTCGCAACCAAATTCTAACAGGAAAATATTGCTTTAAAAATGCCACATGCTGTTTGCACACTCGTTGTCCCATTAGAAGGACTGTAGATTTGTCTTCTTTCAGCTTCTACAGCTCCTGTATTCCAAGCTTGGCCAAAAATGTTTGAAGCATCTTGGGAAAATGTTTATCTGCAGTGCATCCACATATCCACCCACCACATTTCCAGTTTTACCAGCCATGAGATTAACATCAGTTATGCTCAGTACTGCTCTTGTTTTTCCAAAGAATAAATCTCTCTGTTTTCACATGAGGCCTGTGTTATGCAGTTGTTTGTTACAGTTGCTTTTGAAAACATGGATCCAGGGCAGAATCTGCAGTGCACAGCCCTTTTCAACACACTATGCACTCAAGCACTACTCAAGCCACACAATTATTTGTAGTCTTTTTGTGGATGAATAGAAAGATGGTAGTCAGTGTGTGGACAAAGAGTTGAATGCCACTGGCCTGTGGCTTGTGTTAACAGCAGCCTTGTGTTGTTTGGCCCTATAAAAGCATCTTTAGGGGTTTTTTAATGCTGCATTTGTTCTTTCATGTTCCGTTTCCTTTTCTAAAATTTGTATGTTCTTTCCTGTATGAATATATGAGCATCATGATTGACATGCTTTTTTTTTTTTTACTATCTACAAAATTTAAAAAATTAAATAGGACTAAACCACATTCCAGTCTGTCTTTATTTGCAGTAGCTTCAGTTACTGATATACATATCAATCTGACACACTAGAGTACATTGTATACTAGACCCTGTAAGGGTTTTTCGGGGGGGGGGGGGGGGGGGGAAAAAGTATGTGACTTATTTGACTTAGTCACTGAAGTTGACTCTTTCCTTTTAACTGCAGCAGCGATTGTTTTGCAATATTAACCAAATACACCTGAATCTAGCACTTCCTTATCATAGAGGTGGCATGTGTAATTTTTGATTAGCTGGTATGTTGTTGAAGATATTTAATCCAAAAAAACTCTTCTGTGCTTCCGACTGGTGGATACCATCAGCATGTCGCCCATAAGATGTAAAAATGCTTCAAGTGTCTACCATTGAAGTAATACTTCTAGATGTGGTTAATTTACTTTTGTTGTTGCATAAAAAATTACAGATGTTTTTATAAAACATTTAATGTTGCAGTTCATGTTTTAAAGTAGAGCTTGGATGAGATTTTAAGGAGTATGCAGGATGAAAACCCACCTCTCCTACCTACAGCATGTGCTGATAACATCTGTGAAAGTATTTGAACTTGAACAGTAATGGACATGTGGCTCTGAGGAGTCAAGGATGTGCCAGTTACAGGAAGCTTTGATTCAAACCCCTCCCTGCCTGCTTTGTTTTTCCTTTCTAAAAAAAGGAATCCAGGTGGGATTGTAGGGTGGCCCCATCAGATTAGAACACAGGGCAATAAGTGTGCCAAAGAGGCAAAGCTCCACCAGCACTAGTGAGAGGAGATTATGGAGCCGATTGCTTTTCTGTGAAACAGCACAAAATTACAATAATGATGTTTGTATCTTTTCCTTTTCGAGAGGTCAGCTTACCTCATTTCTCCTTAACAAGCAGATTTGAATACTTTTACAGTAGAGCCATGAGTCTTCTAATAAATCTTTTTGACACAGTGTTTGTTTTTTTTCCCCTCATTTTCTTCCTGCTACTTAATCACTCATGTTCTCTCTGCTGAGTTTCCATCCCTCTCTATTGCCTCTTTACAGATCTTTCTTTCTTTCTGGAATGAAAAGTGGGCAGTGGATTCGGAGAAATCCACTGCCCATGCTCGGTTTAACATGGTTTGGGTCCATGTTAAAAGCAGGCATGGAAAACACAGGACTGTCACACCAGGACCAGGGTTTTCAGACTGTCCCACAGTCCAAAAACCCCATTTTAACTGTGGAGTATTGTGTGTAGATTAATGAGGAAACTAATTGAATCTATTTAAAGATGAGTCTGAAACATAACAAAATGTGGAAAACTTTAAAGAGTCACATACAGTCATTAGAGAAAGTAATGACTGTATGTAAATTAGGACATAGAATTAACAGAAAACAATTCAGACACAATTATGTTTCCGACAAAACCTATTTGCTGTTGCAGTTTAGTCGTGCACAAAGGTAATATCAAAGAGACAAGGTTGCTTCTAGTACACTATTTTTGACCCTTTTACAGGTAACACTTCTTTCCTGTATAAAAAAAGGTACATTTATGTAGGGTTACTACTGTTATACTTTTAAAAAGATTCAAGGACATCTTTTCCCACTGGAATGAGGGACTTTCAGTATTTGCCAAACAGATTTTCTGTAATAGAGACACGAAGCCACGTGTTTCATATATGTGAACCACAAACACTGTGCTGACCCACATTGTATGAGGAGGTGATTTCAGTTGAAGTCTACAGTCAGTATGTATTTTGCTCTGAATTAGTCTGAACAGTGTTTGACATGTGACCTGTTCCAGGTC